TATATATATATATATATATATATATATATATATATATATATATATATATATATATATATATATAAAATCTGTTCCTAGAAACAATCCCTAGAAATAATTCTTAGAAATCTTTAAGAGAATATAAAAAACTCTGTTATATAAAAAATTTTCTATATTATCCTAGGCAAGATGACATCTTAATGACATCTTAATGACTTCTTTAGACGTCATCTTGCTACCTGGGATAAATCATTTTCTTATTTTTAATTTCTCATAATTGGAATACTATCAGTAAATCGATTTTTTTGCCAAAAAGAAATTTATTACACTAATATTATTTACGTTGCGTTATTTTTTAGGTGCAATATGTGAAAGATCTTACGGTGCTTCCTTCTATCAAGAATTCCGATTGGAGTCAGGATTGTCACACCATTATTCGCGAATATTTTGAAAATCCAGCTTACTCTTTATTGAGTATATATTTAAACGTGGAAGGTGCGTTGAAGGTGCAACTGAGCGTTCCCGAAGAAAGCCACAGTGGCTTCGTGTATTTTCTGCGAACACCCTGGCACGTGTTTACCGTTGAAAATTTTCAAGCCACGGTAGTATTCGGTAGCATCAATCGCGATGCTATGATGTGCATATTGAAAACGATGGAAAATATGTACGTACCCGTTGCGTTAAACAGTGGCGAATGGCCAGAAAGTATCCTTTTTCTCTTTGAAATAATTGTTACAATCAAAAAGCTTGAAGAACAGTGCCAGTTCTTACAACTAAAAATATTATTATATTATTTATTATATAATTATAGTTACAATGATGTAATTACGAAGCTAATAATGAAGTTTCAGAAACTTCAGACTGCATTTTAAAAAGTATTATAATAGAATTAGTCGTCAAATCAATGAAAAGTTTCTTTAATGGAAATAGTTATCAGAAATAATCTGTTTCGCAATTTGCATAATTTTCTGATGTGCTTAACCGAGCGGGTTTACAAGCCAATGGGATTGACCAAGTTATACATACCAAAAGAGAAACTACCTGAAATCGCAATGTCCATGGACGAAAAACCAAGTTTGTCCGAAGAAAATAGACAGCGTGTTTCCGAGGAGCTGGATGAATCGGAGAAGGCATTGATAGAGAGACTCGAAGGGATCGTACGATGTTGGATTAGACAAATCCGTGAAGTACTGACGAGCACATCCGCGAACGAAACTAGGCAGATCGTGTTTGATGAACTGCAGTATTGGACGGCAATATGTTAGTTTCAAATATTATTCAAACTTATAAGCAATTATCGATTATCTTTTGCGTTTCGTTCACACACTTCCGTTTCGGTCTGATGTAAGGACACTGACCTTTTGATCCAGTTTCATTGAATATCAGTGTAACACAAGACCTCTCTTATGGAAGTAAAACACTTTCTCCAGACCGCAAATAAAAACCTGAGCGGAAAGAACGGCGATTGTCTCGACATTTCTAATATCGAATGCACTTCACTTTAAACGGAATTTTAGTTTTATTATTATCGATATATTTAAATTTGCATCTTTTAGAAAGCTAAAAGAAATAGAAATTATAATATAATCACTGAAAAAAATTCTTTTGAACCGATTAATTGTATTACAGAAATTTAATTAGAAATCTTGTTCCAAAATATTGAGAATTGAGGAATGAAAAAGGCGTTTATCTAAATTTTCTCAAAAAGGACATCTACTATAAACTCGATAAAACTTGAATTAAATTAAAAGAAAGTGTCTTATCTCTGTTACTTCCTGACATATTGATTCGCACTTTAACGTAAACTAAAAAGATGAATACAAATTAAATATAACAAGTATTGTGCTTCTAACTTATAAAACGTTTCGTTTGCAGATTTTGACCTGTGCTGTTTGCACGATCAGCTTTCGAATGAAGAAATTCAATCGATACTGCGTCTATTGGAGAACGTCTGTTCCCCAAGCGTGGACTCCTTTCATCTCTTGACTGTGCAACTTCATGAAGGATTGGAACAAGCGGCGTCTATTGTGACGTATCTAAAAGTTTTATCGGACGCCTGTAACGATCTGAAATGTCCAGATGAAATCGAGGAACCCGTGACGAAAATTATGCTTCTGATACTATTTATTTGGACGGAATCATCATTCTACAATATACCGTACGGTTCTACAGTTTCGCTTGCTAACTTTGCTTCTTAAAAGATCAATTAGATTAAATTTCTTTCTAGTCTTTCAATCAGATTGGATTTGTCTCTAGTCTTTTAAATCCTTGAGAACATACTTATACCTATTAATTATTTTATTAGAAGTTAAGAAACATTATTGGCAGAACTTAATTGGTAAAAAGAGATTTTTTATTTTAGAAGCAATATAGAAATACTTTGTCAAGCTGTGAGTGCTCAAGTGGTACAACAATGCAAAGAATACGTCGATTTACAAGCATTACTAGAGGGTGACGCGGAAAACGGGATAACTGTACTTCAGAAATGCATATCTTGCTGCCAAACATACAGAATTGTATACGATAAAGTGCGAATTTAGCCATTAATCGCCAAGTTTAACAAGTTTAAACTATCTGCTATCTATAAATTTCTCAACAATTAAGAAATACAACATTCGTGTCCCAGGAAATTAGTTAACTGTCGACATTAGCGAAAACAATAGACTGCAGTTAATTTAAGAAGAGTTAATTGAAATTGGCTTTGTCTTTGTAATTCTTTCAGAATCGCCACTTAAAACAAATTAATTGTAGGTCACGAGCATAACTGCAAGCATTAAATCGAATGGAGACTGGAGCGTGAACGTTCGCACGGTTTTTAATCGCGTCGACACATTTACACGAAGGTGTTATGATGTCATAGAGATATGTAATGCTTTAATAGTGTTTGGAAGGTAATGCGTAACAGCATATCTTATATGTAAATGCCTCAAGACGGAAATGTCTTAACGCGCGGTGATAATTGCATCAATCACGTAATATATAAATCCTAATACAGTCATATCAATTCAAAATAAAAAGTACGTGTGAGCCAATGGCTCGTATATACCACAGTTCCGTTAATTTTAATTTTAATTGCTAATTTGTTGTTTTATAAATTAGAATTGGTAAATAAATTCGCTAAAAAATTTCTATAGGCGCAACAAAGTGGGAATGATCGGAAGTGCGAAAGGTACACAATACGAAGCGTATTGTCGTAGAATAGAGGATTTATTTTACGAGAATTTGGACGAGATTAAACTGGTTCGTGACGACATTCTAGACGTTGCGAAATCTACATGGCTAGAGAATATGCAGAAGTTCAGGGACTCCATAATGGAATTGGAAAACATGGTCAAGACCCTGATTGACTGCATATTCGAGGAAGTTCAGAATGTCGAAGAGGGTATCGAAGCTATTTATGCTTTGCAGCGTTTCAAACATAGAGGATCTTTATGTGATACGTTATCGATGAAATGGGTACAGGTATGAAAAGAATTTATGAAGAATAATAAAAATAAAGATATAGAACTTTTCTTACAACTTGCATTGAGAGAAATTATTATGATAAATAAAACGTAAATAATAATGAATATAAAATTTTAAATGTAATATAAATATAATACAGATGAATATAGAATTGTATATATAAAATATTTTCTGAATACATTTTTAGGTTTGGAAAATATTTGGTGAAGAAATCAAGCATTGCAATAGCAGTATAACTTTGCACAAAGCTTATCATCCATTATTTCAGTATCATATGAAAGATGCTAATTTATTGTGTATCACTCGATATTTAGAACGATTGTTCCACATGATGATTGATGCGTCTGACTGGATAGGGGATTGTATAGCTGAGAAGTAAATCTTTGACTAATTTAATATTTTTTCTGTCTATTTGAATGTTTAGATATCTTGTGCAAATAAAATAATAAGGTATACATATTTTTAGGCATATATTGGAGCAATACAAACGAGTGATTACTGTTATTGATAATAAAAAATCGCACAACAAATCTTGAAATAAATTGACAAATAAAAAGTATTATACTATAAGTAAATTAAATATATGCATAAATAAAAAATTTGAACAAAATCAATGTTGTTTGAAATTGAAAAAATCTGTTGCAACAAAAGTTTCTTATCGTCTACTAATAGAACATATCCATTCTTCTTGACATCTACTAATAAAACATCCATAAATAAAAAATTTGAACAAAATCAATGTTGCTTGAAATTGAAAAAATCTGTTGCAACAAAAGCTTCTTATCGCATTGCGTAACGTACAAGGTGGCGCACGTGCACATGCATTCTGCATACGTTAGAAATGTATCGCTGAAGGAGCTTCCTCCTCTGTTTCCCACACATCATTGCGAGAATTAAATTCAATAAAATTACATCATTTCCAGATTATAAGATTTTTTCCGAACCAGCAATTATTTTTACGATTTGATGGGATAATAAAAATAACAATAAACGCTGCCTTAAATCGCAGGTCGTTTCAATTATTCTGAGTTTTTACAAATCCTTACCTTTTCAATGTGTAGTTACCCGCGAAAATTCCCTCTCAATCCGCTTGAAGTGCGCGGCGGTACGTGGACGCGGAACCAGTGATGAAAGGAATGGCAGGCATGGGTGACGTCACAAACCACGCGCTGCATCGATAGACTCGTACTTACATGTGTACCACCTCATGTAAGTATGAGTCTATCGGTGTCAGTCCATGACGTCCTTGCGCATGCGCATTGCGCACAAGGGCTTTTGGTCCGCTATTTATCTCAAACCTTTCATCACTGCGCGGGACTACGCAAAAGTCGAAACGCATGGACAGAAAGTCATATGCTGACTGCCGGAACGCAAGGAATCGAACTCAGCTGGATCGTCACAAACCGCATGGTACCTGCGATGGCTGACGAAACGAGAGAAGTGTTACTGAATCGCATAAAAGAACAAGGCGAGATCGTGCGGCAGTTGAAAGCTGCCAAAGCTAACAATACGCAGGTATACGACACTCCATTTTTTCTCCTCTTTTCTAGAGGATCTTGACGTTTTGTCTCTAACAGACATGTACGCATATTCTTTCTCTCTTTGAGTTCCGTCCCATTGATTAACATTAACCGTATCCCCTTCACTTGCTTTCACGGAATTATGTCAAAAGTACGTCCAATGTTTTTCTTCTTGTTATTTTACTTGGACTCAGACTTATCTCTATTGTCCTTTCATCCAAGGTACCGAGGTACGAATTCCAAAAAAATCGGATCAGCGTATTCGAACACGTCTTAACGTAACGGCGGTTAGACTGGAACTACGTTCGATGTTGCACAATATTTTACACAATAAACAACAATAATAGCATGTTTCACGAGTTTTATAAAGTTTCTTATCCATTGAGAAACGTTTCTATCTTCTGACATATTTAATATTTACACTTGCTTTCCCCTTTTATATTGTTGATATATTGATTTTATACTTTATTTTTAAACTAGTAGCTTTCTCCTTTTTCCTTTAAAATCTATGGTAAAGTATAAAAATGCACATGCAAATGTACATAATGGAACACTACTATTTATAATGATGAACAGGATGTGGCGGGCTTGAAACATTATACTGAATTCTGTTGTTAAAACTACTAAGTTCAAGATATATATTGTTCTGTTACCAATATATGAGCTTTGCTTCAGGAAAATATCTTTTCTCAGGAATGCAGAGCACAATCTGATATAAATGTTGATTTAGAAAGCTTAAACAATGATTTTGCGGATATCAGCTATGCGTGTGGTTGGTATCCAACATCTATAGATACTGAATTATTTGATACTTGTGCTATCCTTAATGATGAGCTTGCAAAATGGTCTCATCTGAATAGATGGTACATTAACATCAAAAGCTTTACTCATGAAGAGCGTCTAGCATTTCCTGTTGTGGAAACACCGCTCACTTCCCTGGCAGAAAAGACCAAACGCTTAAAAAGTACTTGCTACATTGGCCAAAATGTACTAGATAAAAAGGTGAGGCAGTTGGTTGCTTGCAAGCAGAGCTGTCATAAATTATATTTAACTGTTTAGGGAAGAATCAGCTTACTTCTCTTATTGAAACGCATAGATGGTTGCATGAGAAATTAACATATATGGACATAGCTTAAACATAGACGCTATTCTTGAAGGGAAGTTTATTAAAAAGACAATGTCTTTATTAATTATAGATAACAACAGTAATTTATGGCAGCCCCTTGCTAGCTTGCTTACTGATATTATTTCTGCTGTTTGGACTAGTCTGATAACCAACATTGAGGGGGCTTTTCTCTTTCATTCTGGTTGCCTTATAAATTCCTTCATCATTTGTGATGTTATCCCGCCTGATACGCGCCAATTCTTTCTCCATCATGTGGAAATATCGCAACATGCCGATGTCCACGTCATCACAGGTGGGTTACGACGTACAGTTATCGACGTACAGCTGGATAACTGACAAAGAGAATAATGTCATATTCATGTTTTAATTGCAAATTTGTTTTATTTGTTCGTAGATAGCGGAGGAAGTCGCTAAGTTATTGGATCTGAAAGCACAGTTAGGTGAGGAAAATGGTTGTCCTAACAAGCTCATCCTTAAAACGCCTAAAGGTACAAGAGATTACAGCCCAGAGCACATGGTACTACGAATGGGAGTTTTGGAAAAGATAATCGCAGTGTTCAAGCGCCACGGCGCAGAGACAATAGATACTCCTGTATTCGAGTTGAAGGTAAGAATTACTATTAGAAAAAAAATAGCACGCTGATGTTTTCACTTTATCAGTATTAGCATTGATTTTGTTTGCCATATAGGATGTTTTGACTGGCAAATATGGTGAAGATTCTAAGCTCATCTATGACCTAAAAGATCAAGGTGGGGAAATTCTCGCTCTTAGGTACGATTTAACAGTTCCTTTCGCAAGATATCTGGCAATGAGCAAAGTGGCTTCCATGAAAAGGTATCACATCGGAAAGGTCTATCGAAGAGATAACCCGTCCACAACAAAAGGCAGATACAGAGAGTTTTATCAATGTGTAAGTATGATATGAATATTACCAAATCATTTCCCATGAATGTTTTATATATTGCTATTTTTCTATCGATGCCTACATTTTTCTCAGGATTTTGATATCGCTGGCCAATATGATCCAATGATACCGGACGTGGAATGTATTCGGGTCGTGACAGAAGCGTTGGAGACTTTAGACTTGGGACCGTATATCATTAAATTGAATCACAGGTGCATCTTAGATGGCATATTCGCGGCTTGCGGCATACCACCGAGTAAATTCCGCAGTATTTGCTCTGCTGTAGACAAGTTGGATAAAAACTCTTGGGAAGAAGTGAAGAAAGAGATAATTGAAGAGAAAGGATTGGACGAGCATATCGCCGACAAAGTCGGTAAATATGTCTCTCAATCTGGCGGAATGGAGCTGGTAGCTGAGTTAAAAAAGGACAAGGACTTGATGAAGCAAGCTGCTGCTGTGCAAGGCTTAGATTCCATGGAATTATTATTGAAGTACTGTGATTTATATAAAATCTTGGACAAAGTAAAGTTCGACTTGAGTCTCGCGAGAGGTCTCGACTACTACACAGGTGTTATTTATGAGGCTGTGTTGTGCGGTATGTATATTAATTTTCTCATTCTCTGAAAAGAACAGTGTCATTTCTCAAAGAAACGGATACTTGCAAATTTTTATAATTACCAGTTAATTTTTAGAACCACTTTTATATTATATTTTTCATTAATTCTATTAGTAATCCTATTGGGTTGTGACACTATTTTCCGGAATTCGATTTTATCTATTTCATAAAGTTTGGTAATATTAATAATAATAATAATCAATAATTTCTTGTAGGAGACGACATTGGTGTTGGTAGCATAGCGGGCGGTGGTCGCTACGACAACTTAGTCGGCATGTTTGACAATAAAAGTAAAAATGTACCTTGCGTCGGTGTATCGCTGGGTGTAGAACGTATATTCAGTATCTTGGAGGCGAAACTGGCCGACAAAGGTTTGAAGATGCGTTCTATCGAGACTGAGGTATTTGTGGCCAGCGCGCAAAAAAATATGCATGAAGAGAGGATGAAGATATTGGCGGATCTGTGGGAAGGTGGCGTGAAAGCAGAGCATTCTTACAAAAAGAACGCGAAGCTACTGGCGCAACTGCAATTCTGCGAAGAAAACGGTATACCACTGGCAATAATTGTCGGTGAAGGCGAATTAGCGAAGGGTGAAGTTACATTGAGAATCGTTTCGACGCGAAAAGAGACTCGTGTGCCGCGCAACAACCTCATCGAGGAAGTACGGAAGCTGCTAGAGACATTATAACATCGTAGATCATAATAACTCACAATCTCAAGAGAATTGCGTCAGTACAAGAAAATCAGTAAGAAAACGTATTTATACTGCATTTAGTTTCATTTTAACCTCCGCGCACAGGAGAAAGTTTATTTATTACATTTGGATCGAATTTATCTTGTGTTATGTTGCGCGACAGTGTCGTTACTGTTAAGCGACTAGAATAAATATAATCTAACAATGTAACCTAACCATAGTAAACGAATCTACACAACGTCCACGACGTTCTGTATTCGTCACATAGCCAATTTTACAATCGGAATTTGCGATAGCAGTTTCGTGCTGCTGCTCGAGAAACCAAATACAATTTATAACTTATTTCGCAAGAAGTATTCAATAAAAGGTTACTTCATATATATTTCGTAAAAAGCGCTTTACTTCCTTTATTATCCGTCCGAGATTGTCAATCTTAAGATACGGCGGAATAAATATATTGTTATAGATTGCTTACGTCGCGCGCGTGCAGGCACCTGAGCGATTTTTTTCCATATAGCAATATCTAGTGAGATGAAATGAAGTATGGTTACAAGTAATTGTGATAAAGTATCGCGCACAATTACACGTAACTGACAATCTTTCAATTACGATATCAACTATTGATCTGTTATTTATCAGCGATTATCTAACGTAATACTGTACGGTAAACCCTCGAATTCACGGACTTTGTCTTAATAGATTCTGGACTTAAAGAAGTTCACCGGTGTTTTCCATTAATTTGATCGATATATCGCTATTTGCTATTTGCTACAATAATCTACTTGATATATATATTTTTACTAAGTTATATCTCATTTAATATTATTGGCTTTTAGGTCCATTAAATCGAGGATGTACTGTATTTATCATATCACAGAGTTTTTGATGTGCTACTGAATTTAAATTAAAACTTAATGGTTAATTCACATATTTCTTAATTTATATTACATCTAATAATTATCATTACTAAGTTATATAACTTACTAAGTTATTTTGTAATTTATAAATTGAATAACTTACTTGAAAAAAAGTACTATGTATCCGACTAGTTTGGGAAATTAAATACTTTTGTACACTGATGAAATTAATATGTCGCAAAGTTGATCGATTGAAGACATAATATTTCTTTCTGCAGCTCTTATGTCGATCAATGCGTATAACATTACATCATTTATTTCGGCTCTTGCTCGTGCATTGCCTAAATTATGCAGCCTCTTAAGGCGAAACACGAATATGCTAATTACTGCAGTAGAAAGTTCCCAAACCAGCACAGGTTAAAATTAATGTCAGTTCTTACGCACATGGGGATATGCGATACACGTAGGAAAATTGTGGGCAAGATAGATAGAAAGTTAGATACGAATAATCTTTGTAAGATCCGGAGGAAGATTTTTCAATCAGTTTTTCACGTCAAAATGAAGGTATTTCTAATTAATTATATTAATAAAATATTTAATCAAATATTTTTCTACGAATGAAAATGAAAAAAGAAAACCTTCTCCAGTATTTGAATATTCTGTCTAACTTGATTATTAATTTTCTGTTTTATCGCGTTTCGCATAAGGACTCTCAATTTTAATTTCTTTCAAGTCCATGTCTTCCTTTTGACCGGACCTCGTCATAGCTCTGTACTGTTCGAAAGGATTGACCGCCGGCCTTTCTATTATTACTTGCCGCGACGGTTTGTAAAAGTCTATCGACACGCTAGGTTTTTCTCTTTTCGATTCCGAACAACCGCTTGTCGAAGACGTCACGTTCAAGGAGTCTTGAGACTCATTTAAATTATCAATTATACATGCACTCACACCGCTTTGTTCCTTCGTTGCAGGCGGAGCTCCTGCCTTGACGTCTACATTCATTTCCTGTATTCTCGTTTGAACCGTTCTACCTAGTGTATCGTTAACATTCACAAGTCTCTGCTGAAGGATATTCTCATTGGAAGACGTCGAATTGTCGTGATCTCTGTTCCCTTGACAGCGCCTTCCACTGTCAGCGCGCGAGATCATAGTTTCGTTCGATGCCGCGAGTGATTTATCAGAAAGCCCCAAAACAAAGGGATTAATCGGGGAAGTCACATTTTCGCGATTATTCCACAACGATACTTGCTCTTCTCTCGAAGCCGCGGAAGCAGATACCCCGGCACTTCGAAGTTCGTTCTTCATACTTATCTCCTTGGCGGGCGACATGATAGTCACCGTTTTTTGGTTCACTCTGCTGATATCGACGAATTTGTTAGTGTTGTCCATGGCGAGTGGACTAAGAGGCGCCGGGCTCTTCTCGCGTTTACTGGTGTTAACGTCGCTGAGGCTGAAGGCTCTTACGCGACGCTGCAGATTTATTTGTCCGAGCTGCCGTTGAAGTATACCGGCTCTCCATTTCGGCGGTGGTTTCATCGTCGGGCTCGTCGGGCTGGTTTGAGCGCTGAGCTGTGTAGGTCTTATCGAAAAGCGCCGTATATTAGACGGCGGTTTGATTGGTGACGAAAAACCAAGCGGTCCTTCCATGTTCACGAGCGGTTCCTTCGGTGACACCGAGATGAAAGCTTCTGTGGGGGCGTAGGGTTCTTGAAGATTGCGTTCGTCTATCCTCAGGGTCAAGGGATGCAGATTCTGAAAAGTGTTTGTGTTCAATAAGAACAGAATTGGTTTCGCGAAAAAGATTTATATCGTCTTTACGTGATTTTACGTTTATAATATTTTCAAAATTAAAAATATACGTTATCAAACTCAATAGAATTAATTCGTCCATCATGGTCTTGTCATTGTGTTTTTCATAATAATTAATTTAATTATATACGCACAGAAATAATATTATATGCAAGAAGGATATTATCCTTAGAATTCTTGCACTTTCCTAGAAATTTAGCAAAAATGCGACTCAATTTATTAAGTTTAATTTGTAATGTTAAATTTAGTTTATAAAATATATGCTCTCAAAAAAAAATTGTTTTCAATTTTTATTAAAATTTTTAAATTGTAAAGTTTTCTCTAAAATTTAATTCTAATTTATAATTGATTCGAGATTTTAAAATATGTTATATACGTTAACTTTTTTAATCTGTATCTCGTAAAAACATGATCCTTAGTGAGTGTAAACTTACCGGCAATCGCGCTGATCCATAATCAGGAGGCGTGGGAGGACTCACTGGAGTTGCTACCGGTCTGAGGGAGAATCGTCTAGGCTTCACAGCGACACTTTCTTTTCTGAAGAAAAACGGTGTGTTAGAACCGGAATAATTGCTCTCAGGCGTCTTCAGGGACACTCTTCTGCTCGACTGATAAGACTGCGGCCCCGTCACTGTATTTTGATTACTTTGTGCCCCTGATCCGGACGAATTAGACGAGAAGAGGGTAAACAGACTGGGCAACTTAGGCGGTGTCAAACTTGCTGTTCCTAATTTTCTCTTTGGTTTCTCAATATACTCATCAGGAACCGTTCCCACTCTCGCATGAAGAGCGGTCAACGCTCTGAGGAAGTCCGCTAAGCTTGTCTCTTCCAACAAAGTATTACCTTCCAGGTAATTTGACAAGTTGCCGCCGGTGTGCGTGTAGTATTTTTTCGCAGTTGAGTCGCGTCTCTCGTCCACGTACGAATGCAATGGACTAATTGAGTTTTGCTGGCTGTTCTTCTCATTGTCCTCTACGACAATCTTGTCCGTATTCTTCATATTGGAACCAGTGACCGACTTTTTACTTTGTCTTCTCCATCGGGGGAAGAAATTCTTTGTAGCGGAGATCGGTAACGCAAACGACGGGAATCTGTAAGATTTGCCATTGCTGTCCTTCGACGCGGGCAGAGGAGTCGTGTTGCGTTCCTTCATCAGCTCTTGCAACTTCTTCGTTGCCGCTGGACCGGACCAAGTCCACTCGCTGCTTTCCTGAGGGACATTAAAATCGTTCTTCGTGACATGGAGACGCACTTCGCTAGTCGCTCTTGATCGGGGCTTCGTAAACGGAAACCTCTCGCCGCCGATCCTCCATTGGGAGATTTTCGGCAAGCCTTGCTTCGTAGAAGTGGACGAGTCTACCGTTTTGCACTGATCGTTTTGCGGATCAACTTGAGTTGACTGATCCTCATCTTGGTCCCAATCGTTCATGTCGTCCGATGACATCGGTGGCGGTATGTAACCGAGGATGTTCACCAAGCGTGCCAAGAGCTCTGCTGGTTGCACCATAGCGTGCGCGGCGAAAGTTGCGGTTTTGTCTATCCTTTGCAGATCTGTCTCGGACACCACGCGCGTAAGCTCATCCTGTAAGAATAGTTAATCAGTTAATCCTACAAGAAGTTAATAATATTAATTTTGAAAATGAATGAGAATCATTTGAATAAAAGGAGAACTCGTACAAATATATTCATTAGGGGATATTTAGAAATTATTATATGCTTAATAAAAGATTATAGTATTAATAAAATTTAAATATAAGCCTAAAATAAAAAATAAAAACCTATAAAAATATAAATATAATCATGAATAAGAATATTTATTACATACCGTCGGTACTACTTCGCTGTTGGCTCGTCGTCGAGGATGGGGTGGTGTATAATTCTCCATGCATCCGCCTATCGTTAAATTACGAAGATCCGGGAAGCTGTTGCTACGCGCAAGTTTCGCCAGAGGTGTATCGTACTCGTACTCGTCTACATACACTCTCTGATAAACGAGCGAGAGACATCGATTAGTTTACGATGATGTCGAAGACGGATAATATTAATCGCATTTTCAGAAATCATTATTTTCGCACAATCTTTTTCTATAAATGTGTTTTAATGTATTATTAATGATTCTTCTAAAAATGAAAAATAATTAGATGTGGAAAAATATAGAAAATGAGGTTTGTTGGGCAACGAGATCACTTACCTTGACCTTAGAAAGCTGTAACTCATTGAAAACGCGGCGCAGATAGTTGACTTCTTTGTTAAACTCGTTCCAAATCTTGCTCTGCGTGTGCTTGAGATTCATCGCCAGTTTGTGTTCGAGCCTCGTAATCTTTTTGCTGCGCATTCCACGAGCGATGAACGTCATTATCATAACGATGTAACCCAGTCCAAAGGAGATCCAGCAGATTAGAAATGTTTTGTACATGATGAATAATGGACCGCTGCCTTTCGTGTTGTCCTGGCCTGCAAAATTCAATCAGAGAGTCGGAACGATGAAATATATCTTATTCATTCACTTCACTTAGAAAATATTTACTAGCTTTAATTTTGAATGATCTTATTTTTCAGTGCAAATATTAATCTTTAATTTTTTTTTAATTTGAAAGTATAGAGAACTACTTACATATTCCAATCCTATAATTCCACACGCAAGCATGTAACAATAAAAATACTTTTTTTCAGACAGACGTATAAGTGCGCAGATCATAGATTTAAACGCAATCGATGTATGTGATAAGAACACAAGTGTATATACGCGTATCAATCAGGAACGCTGACAGAACTTATCGAATGTTATACTTTCAAGTAACCCAGTATTATCAAATCGTAAACCGGATCGGCCTTACTTTTAATTTAAATTTATCTTGAATTTTGTCGAGAATAAATGATATGATAATTTTTTATTTATCCGCTTTTTCGTTAAAAAACATGTCTTTACATCAAATATTTTTTTCAATCCTTGATAAACTTCTACAAATATTTTCGACTATTATTTTTTTCATTCTATCGTCACTTCACCGCTCGAGACGTTGTTTTTGCAATTTCTTCAGAAGCGAGATAGTCTTATTCAGAACACAAGTGCACCTATAGCTATATAATAGATTATGTAACGAGCACGGGTATGATATAAACGTTAACAGTTGCTCTCGTTTCATAGTCGATCACATTGTAGCAATCGTTACACCTTTTCGATACATTTAGTCGTACGTTTATCTCCTGTAGTTTAGCCATACATATGAATGAATAAATAATCCAAATGATATCATATCGTTTATAGAATATATAAGCGAGTGAAATCACGCTTCTAAGAATATACCGAGATCACCAAATCCCGCAACATGTCTTAGGATCATTGCAGAACAGAATCTCAGTTATCGATAAAGAGAAAAAAATAAGCTAATCGTCAGCGGTAAAGCCGTCTGAAAGACACGAGAGTACTTGCACATCTCCGGGAAATCGATAAGATAGAATATTTACCCGCCACGATATCGCCGAAACCGATGGTCGTCAGTGTAACGAAGGCATAATAAACCGCCTCGTCGTATGTCCAACCCTCGTAATGCATGAATAAGAACGCCGGGAAGAAGATAAAAATGATGAAGCCGGGTGTCAAGTACATGAAGATCTGCGCAGCTAAGCCCACTTTGCGCGTCTCTAACGACATCGGTTTCTTGTCGGACTGGCTTTGCTTGTAGGATTTGTACTTGCGATGAGCCTTGATGAACACCTGGCTAAAGAACTCACCCAGCTGCGTCAGCAGGATTCCGTTCATGGGGATGCCCACCAGGCCGTAGAAGATCATCAGAATACGACTGAGCGTGTTCGTGGGCGCCAGATTGCCGTACCCTGCAAGTTAGATTTTGTAAAAATTAATAAGTCAGAAAGAAATAACACAATAAATCAACATGATTTTTTAAATTGACATTCGCAAAGACACGTTTTTAAGAAACGTCCTATGTTTTTCAACGTCTAGTTGTTTCTCAGAATTCTTCGAGTTTAAAGTAGAAACTTAAAACTCTTCATTCACACATATTTGAATATATGCCTACCGATAGTACTGACGACCGTGTAAGCGAAGTAGAAGCTGTTGTAAAAGTCCCATCGCTGACGGTCTACTTCGCCTTCGGTGTAATTGTACACTGACTTGCCGCAGTACACGGTGAGCTTCTGCAAGATCTCATGTTGATCGTGAATATAACCGGGCATATAGTGTTGGTGCAGCAGTGCTAAAAATCACACGCATACGTATGCCTTTCAGAAGAGCGGAGCCGCGTTTCGGGCGATATAATCATCTTAGACTTATCTGCGGGATAATAATAGGATAATCTCTTCTTTACACAAGATGCTCGCGGTCCTTTCCGAGCCGTATTATTTTCGAAAGAATTGCCACACGCTATCTTATCGACTAATATTTGTCGTTTTATATTGCCCGTTTGCACAAACCTTGCCTGGACCTTTCGCCCACATACACACACACACCACACACACACACACACACACACACGTACGCACTCACATACAAGCGGTAACTACACCTGAACGAATTTCACCACAGTACATACGCGCGATCATTGCCGTCGTTGTATGCGCGACAAGCAAGCGTTTGCTCTCACGTGCATTCTCCGCGCGTCTCCCAATGTTCCTCTTTCTTTATTAAAATCTTAATATTCATCGAAATAATTCTTGTTTATTAAATATAATATTATTGTTAACGCCTTGATCGTTAAGTCTCTCATCGTTTTTGTCCGCAAATCTCATTTACTATCTGATACTGCAAAAATTAAAAATCAAGATTACGAAGTCCCGGAACACGCGAATAATCTTTCGCTTATTCGAGAAAGTTAAAATAGTAAATTTGAATTGACAAGATCGACAAAACTAAATGAAAAATTTGATAACTCCGTCGAGACATATAATCTCGATTTTCGTACAATTATCGTTTATTTCTCCAATGTCGGTGATTTACTGGGATATCATATTCTTATGCTGCATATTCTTATGCAGCGGGATTCTCTCTCCGCGAGATCAAGGCTGGAAACAAGGACGGAAATAATTTAAAAGATCTTATACTTATTCACATCGCGTGTGAATTCAGAATTTCTTGTTCCTCATTATCGCGCGAGAAGGGAGATGACAGGAAAAAACATTAAAACGGATATCGCCGGTTTTGTCAGGATGCGGTGATTTCGACGGGAGTGGTGGACGAGATAATGATTTCGTAACTAGTTGACCCTCTGTTGACACTGACACTGGCCCTCTCTCCGGTACGACATTGTGACCAGCGGGGCTATTTGAATAATGCCCTTTCTTGCGATAACAATAGCACGGGGCACGGTCATGAATACAAAGCCCAATGACGCCGAGTAGCCGGACAGACTTCCCGGCTATTTAATGAAGTGGTTCGCGTTATAAAAGTTTCCGTGCATTTCTACGCGATTAATGTCCGTTTCTACCGACGTCGTTTAAACCGCAATCAAAGTTTAAGTCTTTGTCTGAATAAAGTTTAAACTTAGATTATTCGTCTGTTGATAGAAACAAACATAACTCGACTTATATTCGGTGAGCCGACGAGAGCGCGGCGATCAATCACTCCAGAGGAGACGACAACCTCGACGATGAAAACCGTCTCGTTTGAAAATATGCGAGGCTAAGTGTATGGTGAGTTTCAGATGCTTTGTACGCTGGACTCGTCCGCTGTATGACTGCGAGCGCTTACATTATCGCCGAAATCTCCAAGCAGATCGCAGGTAATCGCGTAATAATGGACAAATAAGTCGCGAGTCATGCAAAGTCGTTTGAGAAACAATGTCTTCCTGGTACTAGATTGTTTCGTTGACACTAAGAGATATTGAACTGTAATCTTGGTATGAACAAAATCTCGAGAATGTCTTTTTATCATTCCGTAATAAGGCCGCGCTACATCTCGAACCATTTTCAGAAAAAAAGACATAGTGATGTAATTATAAAGTGACAACTACATGAATTTTATATAGAATTAATGTATATAATTTAATACACAATTCTTTGTAATTATTGTAACTGAAGCTTTAGCTGCAATAACTATAAATTAATTTATTAAATTATATACGTTAATTCTACGTACAAAACTCGCACACTTGTCACCTGTATAGTTCCCATTATCATGTGTTTTTCTGAGCGCATGGAGCCAGATGTTTTCGATTAACATAAATTAAAGACATCCTTTAACTTTTGATTAAATTCGAATTAAGATTAAATTCCTTTAAATTTCGTATTATATATATATATATATATATATATATATATATATATATCATATTAATAAAGATACAATGCCAAATTTACGCAGAAGATAATGTTTCGAATCAAAAACGTTGACATTTTGAGCGACTAAACGACGCGACGCGTGATGCAAAATATATCGATAGTTCAACGGCGTATGTGCATATATGCAATTCCACTCGCGTTTATGTGATTGCGCTCGCGCTTAGTTTTTTCCTTGATGTCCGCCGTTATCATGATGCTTGTCGATTGGAATAATTTCAGAAATAAGGACGTTTAGTTTACTTCATCATTGCAATCAGTCGCGAATATAAATGGAATGAAGCGTGACACGTACGAAATGAGTTCCCCTCTAATCCGGAAACCGTTTCTCTTTGGCGGAAACGTCAAGGAAACTCATCGTTTGTTACAAGTTGTTAGTTACTAATGCAAGTTTTGAATTAACGAATGCTTCCCTGTGACGAATTCTCAAATTATCAATCAATTTATTGAAGTATAAACTCGAGCTTAAACGAAGAATCTCAAGGTTGTACTATTCATTCGCACTTCTCGAGGACTTTTTTATCTTCAACAATGCGTCGCTGAAGTATTAGTCTCGACACGTTTTCGCCAAGGAACAATCGACTCCTGATCAATCGAGGAATTCGCGAGGAAGATGAGGCTCAGTAGAACCGAAGGCACTTCGCGAGTCAATTCACAGAGCAGCGTATAAGCCCGGATAACGCGATTTCGTCAACGTTCTTGTGGCATTACGGACTTCGTTGATTAACGGATTAATGATTGCGCAATCTTAATGAGCTCTAAATGCGATCCTGATGCAAGCCAGCTGACACCGCCGTCGCTCGTTATTTATCGCTGATCTCGACGTGCCGATGTCGATCTCACCATTGATCTCAATACGTTCCAGCTTGGCCTGGGCATTCTGTTCGATCTCGTGGTGACCCTCGATATGGTAGAAGATGAACGCGCCCAGCAGCAGGTAAGTGAGGAACAGCATCAGCAGGACTAGCCATTGCTTCTTGGACATTCTCGGCCGTCAGAAGACTGCGATGCGACAGTGGAGTCGAATAATTATAGTTGAGTCTGGTGGCGATGAGCGATCCTGATTGTGCGAGCGATCCCGCGGGGACGATCGAGCACGTCAAGTGATCATAATCCCTTCGTTAGAAACACGTGGTAGTCTTTGACATTGTCGCTGTCTCACCTTCGTGCTAATGAAACCAAGCCGGCCAGGCTTGCACTTGGCTTGCTCGTCACAAGCGTACTAAGTCTCCGGTGCGCGCGTGTGTCTCCCTTTTACGGTTCCTTACGAGCCGACGACGACCGTATCGATGACGGTAACGAGTTCTCGAGGACGATGTTATCACCGGTTCGATATCATCGATTCGTCACGAATCTTCTTCGTCGATGGCAACGACGCGAGATACCGCATTCTGATCTAGCTGTTGCTGTTGTTGTTGCTGCTGCTTGATCGCCATCGCTCTCGAATGGATGACTTGAGTCCCGGTTTCCTTTAGTGAAGACGGCCCAGTCAGGTTCCCGAACTCTGCAAACAGAAAATCGCTGTCAAGTGAAAATCGGATCAAGTGCTTTCTGATTTGTTCGGTCAACATAGCGATAATGATGGATAAGGGGTAGCACTGTGTGCCTCGGCAAAACTCGAGAGCTATATATTAAGAAAAATGTCGCGGTATCCTTTTGATTTAATTAATGGCGATGACATGGGTTAATGGCAATGACATGAGCTATACGTCAGAAGACAACGCGAGTGTTGAAATGTTAAACAGAAATCGTGACAACTGATCGAAGATTGATAATACCTTCTCAGCACACTTTGAGGCACGCGATCGCACGTCGCGATCGCGTCTGTTGCGCGAATCTGAATATGTTTGTTCGATCGATTAATTAGGTCCGTGCGCGACGGAACGATTTAACAGTTCGCGGAAGAGAACGGTCGGTGAACTCCTTCATTTATCTGATGCTCGAGGAATCGTCTGTAACGCGCTTTCGAGTTGCCAAAAGCACTCCTTCGACGATACCTTCAGTTGCGCAATGCACTCAGCTACTAACAACGAACACCATATATCCTGCCAGCCGATCGCGGAGCAACAGCGATCGATTTTTGCCATAGCGCAAGGATGATTTATGGCGCGAAGAGACAACGCGCGTGTCTCTCGAGTGTGCACTCGGCAGTCTCGTTTGGTCGCGTCGACTTAAGTGGCATTGCTCGCGAATTCGCATAAATTTGCGTGTTGCACGAAGTGCGGAGGCCAAGGAGCCAGGAGGATCTTGAAGTCCACGGAAAGTGGAGGACACGTGGTATCGCTCTTGGTAAAATGGTAAAAGGTAGAGCCTCTCATTTCGTTGAGAGGTTTCGAGGAAGATTTGAAGTTCAAGGTTCCAATGATCACTCGCTAATTAATTACAAGCATGTATTGCTGACGCGATGTACAACATGGTGATCTACAATGCGCTTTCCAGGCGAACGTAAAACTGCCGATCGTCGGCGATCCGTAGCGACATCGGCGACAGCCTGCATGCTCGATTTGTCTTGATCTTCTTACGTTATTGCGTATACATCCATAAATATGATTTATGACGTGCAAGGAACGCCTCGACTGCATCGTCTTGCGCGTCGATCTCTATTTGCTAATAACGCTGATGTGGACACCGCTCGTTCACGTACACGCCCGAGAAAATTGACATTCCATTTGGAGGTCGGAGGCTCTTTGCAACAAAGGCTCCTTACGAATTTTGGATCTCCACGGAAAGACCTTTGTTTTGTTGACGAGACTTCATAAAGAAATTTAAGAATTTTAGAGAAAATTGCAGAAAGAACGAGCCTCTTTGCAAGAAAAGCCAACGACTACAAGAGTGTCAATTTTACATTACTTATAGACCATTCATATACTGAGAGGAAAAATGTTTATAATACAGTAAATATTTCTTTGATAGAAAAGTATTAATAACATATTTATTTAAATTTAAATTTTTATTTAAATAGAATAAACAATTGCTTTCATGGGAAGCTAAAATTGTCTTAAGATTTTAAGAAAATATATATTTTCTTATTTGAAAACTATTTTATATATTACCATAAGTAAATATGCTATTAATATTTATAGTAAATCAATATTTATTATATCTTAAATATATCTTAAATATTTTTTTCTCAGTGTATAAATCTTTCATTTAAATGAAAGAATTTGCTTTTATTATCTAGGACCACATTGCTCCTATACCTAGGATATATATATGCGCGCGCGAGGAATCTTAAGCAATAACTCATAAGATTGCAAAATAGATTTGGCGTACAAGTTTAACAATTGTTGCTTATCTCTAATGCGAAACGCTCTCTGGGCCTCTTTGTCTTTCCTTGACGAAAGAATAACACCAGTTGTCGCGAATCTCCGACGAACTTAACGATCGATCACGCTAGTATGGATCATCGCCTCTAATTGACGAGATAAATTTGCGAACGCGTTTCGTGTGCGGATATTTCCTTTATTCGCGAAATGAACACAAATTGCGATCAATTTATCGCGTTATTCTTTTCTCAAGTACAATTCGCGGCTTTTCTGCTATCGTACATTCGGATGAATCGCATTCGAGAATATTTTGGCTCAATCTTATTTGATAAATTGCACAGCTTATTTTTTCAATCGCAATGTTATTAAATAATTACAATAATCTTATTCTTTACTGCCGCTTTTTAAGCGGAGATTTTATCCGGTAACGCAATTATGCCACCGTCTCATAGCACATCGGTAATAATTATAAATCTCGCTTAGTCCGTAAGTTTGAAGCGCGAATGACACGCTGCAATGCAGGTTGAAATGATTAGTTGTAGTAGACGACATTTTACGAGCGCGTTTTAACTTGAATAATTTTATGGCTGTTAACGGCCATTTAACAACTGTTATTATCTTCCATTTACTGCACACGTCGTGTCGGTCCAAGCTGCGGTTAAAATATGTCGATACTAATACACATGCGCTAATTAATGTAACAGTTCACGGAGAAATATGAAGTATCCCTCACGTGGTCTCTACTTGTCGTATCGATCAAATTATGATTAACAACTAATATTCAGAAGAAGAATGTGCGAATGTCCATATATTCGGCGGAGATTATGTAGGTTACATAATATCTGTCTAGAGTCGCATGATAAAATTAAATTCGAGAATACAATATCAATGGTTCGCGAAAATACACAGATTCCGTTTAAAATTTTGCTAAAACACAGCGCGTTTATTCTTTATTATTTTTAGGCACGATATGACAGAATTTTGATATATCGCAACATCCTTCTATGTAGAATCACAAACATACTTTTTTCAATTAATTGATTTGAACACATGTTCGATATATCAAAAATTGTGCGACAGTACCGGATACCGAAAGGTATTTTCGATCGTAATCGTAGTAACGTAATAGCAATCGAGCATGGGATTATAATTACTAAGTTAAAGGACAGGTTCTTTCATCGATCGATTGATCTTCAACGATTGATAGTCACGTTACCGCGTTTGAAAATTTGTTTAGCACGTTATTTATTAACTATTTTTTATTTTGCGTATTTTTCTTTCTCTTTCGCGAAAAAAACATGCACAGTTATCAAGTAAACGTTATATTATTTTTATTTCGATATGTTTCAATTCGATATGCATATGTAATACTGTTATATCTTAGATTTGATATAACGACATAAATGCTCAAATGGAGACTTTGAATACCAATTAATTCTATGATCTTTATGAGAATCGAAACTTAAAAAACGTTAATGTTAAACATATTAAATACAACGATTAATCCAAAAATATTGCCATTCTTCAATTTCTTGATACTCACCTGTCTCATCTGTTGCATATTGCTGAAACTCGCTGCATGTATCTGGATTAAAACGGTGAGCCGCATTTTCTGATATTCGAGATCACACAGTTGCAAAATTTCTATTTACTTTCGAAGACACACCGACGAGATTCAAAACGCAAATTGGCGATTTTGTGGTGATGAAGAAGTTTAAACGTCACCTGCGGAGATTAACAGATCACCGCAGTCGGATACTTGCCCGAATGGAGACTATTCGTAATCAAGAGCAGCACTATACGAAAGATCGTCCGAATGGTGGGAGGCTCGAAAAGGAGTCCTATAGTTCTCCCATTGACTACGATGATTCAAATATCCTGTAAATATTTGAGAGAGAACAAAAACATGTTCATCTAAGTTAATTTTGGTAAAATACCTTATAATTTAATGTTTTATATCAATTATTTACTTACTTTATAGAAATAGAAAAATATTAAAAAAGGGATTAAAAATGTCAAAAAATCGATATACATACATATATTTTTTGATATTTGACTTTTCGAAATTTTTGTATTTATTCCAATATCAATTATTCCAATCGTAGCGCGTATATTACTTGCATTATCCGCCACATCTCGTAACCCGTGCTTAAGCGTGCTAATCGAACTGTTTAATTAGCGATTGAACACTAATAACAATATTCATGCTCCTTTTAGCCACGAGAATCCGATTGACAAGAAACGTTAAATTTATCTGACGGATCCAGTGCGACGGACTATTTTTAGAATCTCTGAAAATTGATTAACATTTAATTTTCTCAATCTTAGTTTTATTCTTTTTTGAAGTTTAAACAACAGTCATACTTTTATCAGGTAACTATATTAATTTAACTATATTTATTAACTATATTTATTAACTTACCTAAACTTTACAAAAAATATATACTGTAACAATATATAAAAAAGAAAAGCAATTTAATTCAAAAATTATTACAAAACATAATACATATGTTATCTTTTCGACGTTCGTGGAACATTTGTGCATCACATAAATATCGTATCCATCTATTGTTACAAAGTATGTCATCACAAATCTTTCAATTTCTATATTTTTTATAATACACCATCACGCTACGTTCTAATATCAATTACAATGAAAGGTATTTGTCAGAGTTGCTAGCTATATGGCATTACTTTTTTTTTATACCATATTTGTTACGATATTTTAATGTACTTAACAACGGAAGTAACATAAATTAGCCTTTTCTAGTTGACTTAGGTTGTCTTGGAATATCGCAAATTTAATATGCTATTTGTTGCAGCACTTTATAGCGCAAACACAACTTTTTCTCAGACTTTCCACCGATTTTAGGAAATATGATGTTAAATCAAAGTAATTAAAGTGAACTATTAAAATAAAAATTAAGCGCTACAGTTTATGGCAACAATAATAAAACTTTTTATTTCAAAACTACTACTGGAGAAATTAAAATGCGTCACTTAGTCATTTAATTTGAAAATAAAATTGCACAAAGTAATATTGCAAGCTGCAAATGTGATTACAGTGTGCAGCATTTTATCAATTATTGCTTTCCCTATATGCAAGTTTGTGTGAACAAGAGGTTCAGAATGACACATGAAAATATCGTGTGCACACTCGATAACTACAGATGGACAAAATGTAATATAGATATAATATATATATATATATATATATATTTTTTTTTTCTTCAACATTCACAAACTTTCAGGTAAGGCACTGCCTTTAGTTTAAGAAGAAATCAACATATTATATATTGAACATTGAGCTCTTCAGTAAACTGCAATAAATCTTATTTCGCTTATATTCAGATTAAAACCAATGTAATTTCGGTGATACCTAATTTTGATGTTTTAGATACGCGAAAAATATTGAGGAAACACATCTTATAATTTTTTCTTCAATATTGTAGTGGTTTTTAATCTGCCTCTCAGAATGTATTTGCAAGTAAAAATGTATAGCAAAAATAATATTTCTAACATTTGCAGTACAATTTTAAACTAAAATAATCCAGGAAATTCAAAGTTCGCACGCGTCAAAAGATGCGCACTTATAAGCTTTAGCGTCTCGATTGTGTCGGAAATTTTAAATTTACCGAAATCACATCAGATTCAATCATTACTTATGTTAATGACTATTAAAACAAGGTACTATAGTACAGTAACCATCACTGATTATTACAGATGCTAACGCCACTGTGTACTTTTATCTGGTAAATTTACTAAAACTGATACCAAAATTAAATTATTCGCATCCTAACTAATTTGCCACTACCAGTCATTTACGCAGTCGAATATCGCTTTGATAGCACTCAATTTATTACTTTACGTAATTAACTTATTTGATTTTGAGCTCCGATATTAAAAAGTACATTCACGAGTGTTAATTAGATCATTAACATTTAACGCTCATGACTTTCCCACGTTTTATGCACTAGCTTCTTCCTCTTCTTCTGCACTAATTCCATCCGAATTCTATATCCTCGATCTTTATGTTCAGTCCCTCGAAAGTCGTATCGATGCCAGGATCATCAAAGCTTTCGTCCAGATCGATTTTCTATAATAAAAAAAAACCTTATCTTAGAAACGTTTTGATAAGAAATTAATTGCACAAACGGTTCTAGTGTATCGATATCATATTTTTATGCGAACCTGTAACGCAGCAATTTGCGAAGGATCGCCAACGAATAAGATCTGTGGCTCTTTGTCGCTTGCATTTTCGACTACCTTAGAAATCTGAATCTGTCCATTTTTACCTGGTAGTTTGTGCTAAATTCAATTAAAATCAATTAGTCACGTAAATAAACGATTCATATGTCAATACTATGAGCACAATGATATTACAGCTTTGTAACACGGATATCCCAGAATTATACTCACGGTTTCTTTCGTGATCTTGTTTCTAATCTGACTAGAGATATCCAAGGTGTCTTGAAAAAACACATCGGTACCGTCATTACTGTCGATAAATGCGTGAGCTGTTCTTTTGTGCATCACCAGAGTGCTGCTTTGTCGGTACCTCTTGGAGCACAATGTGCATTCGAACGGTCGTTGCTGTGTATGTACCTGAAAATTAAGAATATGTAAAAATCGCTTCTTTTTCTTATGTTCAATCAATATCGTGTCGGAACTGTCGCCTCTCTGATTTTCGTTCAAACACAATTTAAGTAGAGAGATGACGATCCTAAAGCTTGATCTACAATATGCTCTTTGCGTTCTGTTTCTTGTCCTTTATCTTTTTCTGGCTTAAAGCTTAAGGTTTGAGTCAGAAAAAGATAAAGAGAAAGAAGCAGGAAGCAAAGAGCATATTGTAGATCAGGCTTAACGGTTACAACACAGACATACTCACAAGATGATGTTTATACAGACTAGAGTATTCGGTAAAGCTTTTACCGCAATTTTCCATGGTGCAAATATAAGGCTTCTCACCAGAGTGAATTCGCATGTGGTTCTTGTAATTTGTCGCGCTGGCGAATGCTTTACCACACTTTGGCTGCGTACATTTATACGGCCGTTCACCGGTGTGTGTTCTCACATGAACCTAACGAACATAAAATATATCTGTTATTAAAGTTCGTAAGATTTTATATTTAAACTGCTATATATAATTTCCCTGTACCTTTCTGATATTACTTGTGGTGAAGGATCGACCACAACCATCGAACGGGCATATGAAAGGGCGCTCTCCCGTGTGAGTCCGCACATGTTTCAATAGATCACCCGATGTTTTGAAACTCTTATTACAGGTTTCGTTTGTGCATTTGTACGGTTTCTCGCCCGTATGAGTCCGCAGATGCGCTTTTAGACTATACCCCGTCGAGAAGCTCTTTTTGCATTTCGAGTGAGTACATCTGTACGGTCGCTGACCCGTGTGCGAACGCTCATGAACCTACCAGCAATGGAAATTGGATTTAGCTTTTTGTATTTAATCATCACACCACTGTGTAATTTGGGAGTATTTATGTCCATTTCTACCAATTTCATTTAAATCTTAATTTAAGTTTAAATCTTTGTCTGAAAAGTTTAAATTTAGATCAAAGTTTAATCAATTTTGGTAGAAACAAGGATTAGGTTTTTGTCGTATCTTGTAATTCTACCTTATTTCTACTAATATCAAAAAATTACCTTGAGATGATGTGGTGTACTGTAAACTTTGGAACAACCTTCTCTTGGACAAGGATATCTAATTTTTGCATCCGATAACTTATCAATTAAAATCTTGGGATCTTTCTTTTTTAATTTTCCATCTTCGATTTCCCATAAACCTTCACCAACATTCACATGGCCAGCTACCATATATGTTGTGCCATTGATAAATTCCACTTGTGAATAAGTATTTTCCTCATTGTCCATAGTAGTAGCTTTGGTTTGTACAAACGAAGTTTGATTTAATTCTAATTGAAGAGTCTTGGCATCATTGAATTCTGATAGACCTCGTAGTAAAATAGTGTCCCCATTTTCAAATGTTTGTAATGTTTGTGTCTTGAAGTCTGAATCTAAAAATTTATGAAGTTTATGTATTTTATATTTTACTAAGTATTTTCCATAATGAAATACATAGAATGGATAAAAGAAATTTTAGGTTTTCCTTTAATTGGAAATTGCTTTAATAAGCCATGGTTGTTTTACATTATATTTACAGAATAGTATCCAAATCAAATTTCAAATTATTACTAACCAATATTATTTGTAACGAAAGCTTGGGTTCCATCAGGCAGTGTAATCGTAGTTACCATTGTGCCAAGCAATTGGTCATCCAATATAAGTTCTTGTATCTGTCCTGTGTTGTTGACATGATCTTCATTGATCATAACTGACAGACATTGGAATATGTCCACAGGATTATTCTAAACCAGAATTATATCAGTTAAAACACAGATAAATACAAACTGCTGATACTAAGGATATAAACAGAACAGAATGAAAAACACAATTACATTATGGCAGATACTTCGCGATATATATCTCAAATTTCTTAGAACTCTCTATTCCGTTAGAAAATAAGTCATAAAAATACAATTGTCATACGGTATCACTTCAAGCGTACCTCAGCCTCGTGCAAGATCATTTCTTCCTCCTGATTCGTAATGCATTTCGGAAGATCCGCACTTTGCGCCGACATAATCCTCTACGGAGTCGCGGCTGCGAACAAACAACATTTCTCGTTGACAGTCAAGACAAGAGGAGCACATCTCGCCTTAATTCGCACGCGATTCCACCGCGCCGGCAAAAGGGAAGATGTTCGGGCGCGTGCTAACGACAGCGTGTTATTTTTACCGCGCAAATCGTATCGATTGTTGTCGTGTAACATCGCGCGCGACTAACCCTTTCGGCTGTGCACGTTTGATCGTCCTACTGATAAGACTTATCAGATCAGCATTCTGAAGGGATGTTGATAGGTCGTCGCGCGCCGGGTGCATCGCAAACTGACAATGAATCGCGTACACGAGACTCGCGTCTCGTACGACGAGATTCGCCATCTTCGCACGACCGTGCCGCGAAAAGGGCCGACGGTGTCTTGGCGCGACACAACGGAAATCCTCACAGCAACACGATACTACGTGACATGCTCGCTAGATCGCGGTGAATAGAATTTTCGTCAGCCCCCCGTACCGGTACACCAAAGAATCTTGGGAAATATTACCCATAAACTCGGCCGCCCGCGAAATCCTCTCGCGACCAGCGCGCGACGAACCGGAACTCTAGCCGCGGCCATTTTGTACCGACGAAAACGCGCTAAAATTCGAACGGTTTAACGTTTGTACACATGTTATTGAAACTAGACGCTCATGAATACATTATATTTAAATAGTAATACATTGATTAATTAAGCCAACGACAAAGGGGACGTGAAAGATTGATTAACGGCAAAATATCTGCTACTTGAAGTTAAAACATTTGACAGCAAACGATCTATCGTCGTTTCCTTGTTCGGTAATGAAAAAATTCAAAATTACACGCTCGCATAGTTTATTTTAAAAACACAGTAAGAACGTTAATATTAATTCAATGTTGCGCACGATAGCCGCACATAACTAATTAAGATTACCAAATCACAGATCTTGGTCAATTAGAATAAGATCGCATCTGTACGGAAGTTGCGTGCACAACATGTAGTGGCAATATCGCAACAATTGCCGGCATGACACGCTCTAATTCGCCCCAGAGGATTCGCAACGCTTACACGTTAGGACAATCTCTAATTTGTCAAGACACGAGTCGTAATAGTATCGATTCACGACGTATTATGAGCTCATCTCGCCGTGAAACTCAACGCCTCTGAAACTCCATTGTGAAGATGATCTTCTCAACTCTCTTTTCGTCGATTGAATCATGCGATCGACACCCTGGTTCTTGTCTCGCGTGATTCTATCATGACCGCAAGAACGAAAAATGTAGTTCGCGTTTGTAGACGTATTTCGCAAGCGTTAAATTCGATCGCGTTGCGCGCGATACTGTCGAGATGAAAGTTTCGCCTCCCGCGATTCCTTGTGCTAGCAAGTCCTTCTTACACGGGAGCCTCCGCAAGAAATCTGCCTCCGTACGTTGTATACGCAGGTGGGGTACGTGTGTACGTATGGCGAGAAGGGGGATGCTGAAATTCATACACCGACGTTCTCCATTCGAACTGGATCAGTTTCTAACTGCATCCACAAGCCGTCTCACTTAGCCCATCGTTGGATCCTGGACTCGTACTCGCGGAAAAAAGGGTTGCCGTGAAGAATCGGCGAGGACGACGAAGTCGGTGACGGTAATCTGATCGAGCAGCGTGCAGTGATTCGTTCTTCGAAGAAGTGCCGACCGGTGCTTGACGATCGTGTGGTCGTGTCATGACAACGGTGGGTGGAGTAGAGTTCTTATTTAGCGATAATTACAATCCGATAATCATAGTAATAGTTGCATATATAATTTTAACATAAACCAGTTTTTTCATGAGACAAATGCTGCTTCTTACACTATGAACATTTTATGAACATGCTCGTGCGCGAGTGTAGATTAACGCGATCACTTCGTGTGACTTACTTGATCGGACTCTGATGCATCACAGGAACGAGATAGCTTTTGATTCGCGGCAATGTGTGTACGTCTTCTTCGTCCGTGTGTTATTTTGCGTGTCAATGCGCGTACCTTCTTGTAACAGAATATTTTTTAAATGTGTAACATATCTAAAGGCAGTTCCCACGTAACAAACCTAAAAGATTTCTTACTATTTCAAAGCATTTTTAGGCGTTAGAAAGCTCTGCTATCTGAATTTGTTCTGATAATGAACAGTGTTATGCAGAAGTAACACATCGAACAGTCATGTAGGCTGAATGAAACTAAAAACACGAAGGTTGTCACGTTCGTTCGATTTTTACAGTCGGAAATTTTCCATTTCGTTTGAAATGCGAGCTTCCTAATCAATCACCTATAATGGAATAGAAATGTGACTTATGCGCACCAGAGGTTCCGCTTCGTTGAATTTCAAATGCCGGATTCAATAGCGACCGAGTGTACTCCCAGGTGAAGGTGAGCGGAAAGGAAGGCGAAAGGGTGGTTTGACACGCACTGCCGAGCACGTGTGCGTCTCTAAGCGAACCTCCGACGACTCGTTCGCGTACCTGTACGCATACATACATACGTACATATATGCAAGATACTTACACACACACGTACGCGTGTGTATGCGTTTTATCGAGATGTAGGCGCGTATGATGGTGCAATGGCACAGGGCGATGGAATGCAGAGATATAATGGAATTGTCGCATACTTAAAAAATATTGCCTCTTAAAGTGAAAAGCGCAATGTTGGTAATCTTTGTGAGAAAATGTCCCGCACACGAGGGAGGGCAGTGTTTCGCAAGCAGTCCATCGTAATGACGTAATGCATTCCAACATTACGTCGAGCTTACATGCTGTATAGCGAATTAGTCTTGAAGTTATGTCCTGAGGCAAAGAAGAAGACGAGGTGGTTAAAAAATTTATGACTGCGAGATTGCCTGAACAATAACAAAGTCGCGCTCGAGTCCCCTTTTAAAGTTATGTAATAACGCATAAATATGTCTATTCAAAGTTTTACGGTTAGAATTTAAAAAAACTTGATCAAATTATAATAAATATTTGAAATAATAATAGCAGTTAATATTCTCCGTCGATATTATCATGTTTAACATCGCTTGATTAACCAGTACTTCAAAATATACGAGTAATCGACGTTGCGTTACAGATATTTCATTTTCCCTCAGGCAGTTGCACGTACACACGCACACACTTCAACATGAAATAATGGTTTCATTAGAATAACGATCGATTATAAGAAACGTTTACTCTATAAGAACGTTCTGCAAAACATAGACTTTCTAAATTGATCGTTTCGTGTGTAACGGCTCGATAGTTATAATTTTCTTGATGATACGCATCTGTGTATTCTGTGCCATTAATATTATTTTTTATGTACCGTCTATAGCACTTGCGAGTGACACGTTTCATGCGTCGTGTAACATTATAACATCATTTTATTTCGAATTATAAGATTATGAATTCCGCCACGCGGCTGCATAAAATGAATTCTAAAAACGTATTCGCCTTGACCCACTTCTACAATACACATTTTATACGCCTACTCTTTGCGTCAGAATGATTCATTAAAAAAGAAATTTACCTATCGTCGACGTGCATCTATCTTGACATGGAAATATACGCCCCAGGCTATCTCTCGAGGAATATTATTTCAAGCAGTCTTGAATTAAATTCAATCAAATTTAGAGTACACGTGCCTTTCCATGGCAACATGAAGACGTTACTGGATCTTACTATCGCAACTGTAATAATAAACTGTAATAATTTGTTAATTAATCAAATTAAAGTAATCAGTAATTAATTAGATTAAGATAACAATGCTACTTTCACAAAAGTAAGAAATTTACCAACTTAACACGTTGAAATTTACCAACGCGTTAAGACAATATAATTTATGAATTGTAGTTTTATATCAAATTTAAGGACTCAAATGTGACATTAAGTTTTCTGTCGTTAATTATTCGGGCTTTATTTGCGAGATAATATGCACTATACGCTGTACAGATAATATTTTAAAACCGGAATGCGCGATATGATACAATTCTTACCAAGAAAACTTTCTACGAAAGCTATTCGGTGATACCAGTGTATCGGGTTTCGGCAATCGTGTATTATGATCGGTGGCGTAATATTTAAGTCAGAGGTCACACATGCAGCAATGTGTGACATACCTGCAACACGTTCCCATCAGTGGCGGATCGGAATACCTCGAGGCCCAACGAAATTTTAATCTTATTTAATATAATAAATTGTATCTTGACAAAATTTTAAGATCCTTGCCGAGGAAAAATCAACTCTAAATTTCTTAGCAAAAGCTTGCGCTTAAACTCCCGAGAATTTTTATATTCTAATACGCTTTTAATTCTACTCCTTAAATTCTCCTTCTGTAAATGAACATATAAATGTGCGTCTAATGCGAGTAATTTAGTACTGTGGCTCTAATTATCAGATACCTGGATATTTTAATTTCAGATAACGTTGACATTGCTGCTTCTCGCAGTGACGGCGGCCGGTTCTCTGCCGCTCGCCAATGTGCACGTGAAGTTCGTGTCGCCTCCCGATGTGTACGAGCACAGCATTACGACAGATGGTTAGCACCGTTGCGCAATAATGTTTTATATTGCACTAAGTTGAAGAGTGTTTTAACTCGTTCGCGTCTCTTCAGGAGATCGTACACTGGCTCAGGACTCGTACATCTCGATCGGCCGAAGAAGCGCGACGAAGCGGTCCAAAGATCTCGGTGACTACTTTACACTTATATGCGCATAATTATATCAGCGTCATTAACTAAAAATAGCATAATCGGAACAAATAATATATTTGTTAAACAATATATACAAAACGATATATACAGAGTGAGCTATGTCATTTGACTACATAAAATATACTGGTTGATACCTGGTTTTTGATGACACAAACAAATATACATCTCTTTATCTCCGACAAATCCGATACTAAGATTTTCAAATTTTTTTCTAGTTCTCTATCTTTTAGCGTGTGCGTTATCGCCCAGCATGTTTAAGTGAAATGCGATATATATCACTCGAGAATCGTCCTGTATATTTGTGACAAGTGAGAAAATGATTTATATTCGCAATTTTCATTTCCACAGATTACAATTACAGAACAAATTTACGACGAAATCACTTACGACAGGCGATACCGATAACGAGTCCTGAAAGCGTCGAATCTTTATGGCCAGTCGGTGTCTTTCTTCCTCCCATCGATACTAATGATCTTGGATATAGTTGGCACGAGGCGCAACGCGGTTTTTCCAATTTCTACAAGTCGCAAGGTAAAAGTATCTCGTCACCGATAATTCTTCTCTGATATCACAAACTCGAGAATCTACATGCTTTTATCTACTTTTTATTATATCCTTAAATTCTGGACAGAAAGACTCTTCAGGAAGTGGCAAAAGATTGATTGTACTTATTCACTTATTATACAACGCTCGTGTAGTATTGTTATAACAGCATTCTGTTTTGTATACATTTTATTCCGCTAATCTTATTTCATTCTGATTGCAGAACGAGACCCGTACTTATTGACTGGTCATGAAGCAATGATGGCAATTAAATACCTCTACGGACTGGGCGAGCTTTTCTTTGATGATTATCCGCACGTAAGGGCGCTACTGCGTAACCAGGAAGAGAGGAGGTTAAACGGACTTCATGGAAACGTGTTGAGCAGTTTGAATCCTAGGTCACCTTTCTACAGGAAAGGAGCTGGACTCCCTACTTAGACTAGGGAAGATCCGATGGAGTTCGTTCACCACTCAGTGGTGGAGTAATTAATGAGTACGGGAAATTGCGTCGCGCGGGGGGCATGGGAATCCTCGCAAGGACTCAAAAAATCCGTAAATGAGCTTAATTTTATAACACATAATATTTCGTATCACAATTCGCATAATTCTGTAACATATCGAAACAAAATCATAATAATAATAACGTATAAAAAGATAAAATGCACATTTGTAGCGGGATACACAAACGATATTTCTAAGATCACTGTTCTGGATCCTTAACTGATAATAATACATAGAATGTCCCACCATTATCATATCAGGGAAAATAATCTGCAGGTTCTCATGTAAATTTTTGCGCGTTCTACGGAGAGCACAATGTAGATCAATCACTTTGGTCTGTTTATGATGGAATAACATCACTCATATTTTCAAACAAGCCATTGTGTTAAATATACGGCTATCGCTATTAAGCCACTGACGACGTTTGTCGTTTTCGTCGTCCCGTTACAAAGATCCCCGTAACAAAGGCACATGTACACTTTCTTGTAATTCCAGACGGTATAGGCGCATCTTTCCTCATTGTCGTCTGGTCCTCGTTGGAAGCATAATCTCTGCGTGGCGGTACCATACTCTACGAACGAAAAAGTTTCGTATAAGTTATGGTATATAAATGATTCAAACGCGATATATATAATTGGGCGATAACTCACCATTGTTCAAGTTTTGGCTCTCGATAATTTTTCCACACCATCCAGAGACACATGGCAGCGCCTCTACGCCTTTCTCGAGCGTGATTTGCGTTGAATTCATAGTGAAAGGGTCTTTGCACGAACCTAGTTCTCCTCTTGACCTACAGCTTACGCATCTTCGATGACTGCCTGTTGTAAGAATGAATGGAACTGTCACTTTCACTTTATATCGTTCGATCGTCATTTCACCGACGAGTAATTGCCGTACAATAAACTGACTAATTATGATATAATTCTGATATAATTATGATATAATTATGGTATATCTGACTAATTGAGATATAATTTCTAATATTAAGAATGTATATAATTTATTACACGGTAAAAATTATAATCCATATTAAAAAAATAATTAGAATATTAAATAATACTAAAATATAAAAAAATTTTAATTTTAAAATTCGTAATTCCTACTTTTTACATATACATATGTTAAAAAAAAGAAAAAGGAAAAGTTCCTTTTCTCAGTAATGTTTCCTGAACACCTGTTATTTATTATTATTTATGTTTTATTTACCTTATATTTAAAAAATATACAAGTACAAATACATATATAAGTACATATACAAGTATAAACGACATTTCAAGGAAGCTATGAAACAATTTGACGTATTGGTCCTCAATAGAAACTCACCGACACTTTCCCGAAGCATGATTATGCAGGAAATCGCGAGGATCACTTCAACACTTGTTTGAAATTTCATCCTATTTTGTTTCTTCAGTCGTTTCCGGTTCCAGTCGACTTAGGCGATTAATTCACTAGACTGTTAATGAACACCGTGAATAGGTAACCGGGAGCTACGATGGGACACAGCCATTTTGGAACTAAAGTCAACTGTCGGACACGTACGCCTTGTAGCTGTCTCTACGTAGTTCCCCCTTTCACTCGACTTTAAGGTCATCGTATGGCGAGGAAGATCGAGGTGAGGGAATGCGAAGGAAATAGCTACGAGGTCTCGCGGAGCGTTCCCCGGACCGATAACCGGTCTGTCGCACAATGCCGCACAATGCCGGGACATCGATGATATCGGTGACGATGAGACTGAAAGTGAAAGAAAATATGTACATAATGCAACTTTTGCATAAGAATGTAGCACAATGGTAACTTACGATGTTAGCTGAAAAGTCGCTAAATGTTTAAATTAATAGATAGGCAGACAAACACGAAAATTTATTATTGAGATTTGACCACTTGAAGCAGAGGAAAAATATTCTAAATAATATATGTATATTAAATATGAGGTAAAAAAAAATGCGTACAAACTTGCTGTAAAAATATAAAGACAATAATCAATATCTTACTTTGCATTTCTTGTAATGTCACTTGTGATTATTTATCAACGCTTTAATTATTCAACATTCTCTCCAGGAGGATCATCTTGCGGTAAGGCTTGAAATTTATCTCTCTGCCGGTATATCCTTATTATACCCGCGCAGTAGCAAAACAAAGTTATAAAGAATATAAATCCCAAGTAGCCCAAATGCCGGAAAAAAGCTAGGAAGAAATAGAATGTATCGGTAAAACAGATCTATACAAATTATATAAAAATGATACAACTTTCGCACACACAAGCTAATGAACATCAATTTTAATTCACCTTGTGTCAAAAGTCGAGTCTTAGATACGACGATGATCTTAGCGCGCATCATATTAATGTTATCCACGTAACAAGTGTAATTACCTTGTTCATCTTTGGATACATCTATCGAGAGAATATCGTTATAAAGTACAATATAAAAAGCGTCAAGTCCAATCATGTATTGCGACAGATAAATAATTATACGCAAGATTGCAATTTTGTAAAATCTGAGAAGGCAATGTGCATAAGTACGTCACCTATTAAATAGAGCGTCGAGAAAGTATCTACAATCACTCGCGCTTCTTCGTCTTTCTTACGAAATGATCGACCCGTTCCCTTCCTCAAAACGAGCGAATCCTTTCTCCAAACGATTTGCGATTCTGTGCTTGAGCTACATTAGAAACGTTTTATTCTTCTTTTGTATTTTTTCACGTTTGTTTATAGTATATATAAATAATAATTATTTATAAAATTTGAAGACGTGGAACAACATGAAATTAAGTATGACACTAGGATATTTGAATGAGTTACTCTGGACAAATTATAGCAAGATGCGCGCCCTCAGTGATAACATATCGTCTAGCGTATCGAAATTTCTCGGTTTTTTTTATTTTCCTTACAGGTAGACATTTCTTGCAAGGTTCTTTTAAGATAAATTCTGGCAAATATCGTATAACACGACTGATACTAGGAAATTCGTCTTGAAGCAAAGCAGATCTAAAAAAGCATAGCAATGTTAAAATCGTTATGTTGCTGCAAAAGAAAGTATTGTTAAAACTAAATAATTTATAATAAACTTAATGCCACAAACATTTACTTGCAGGGAAGTATTGGAGATCTTTGAAAGAAGTATACAACAGTCGAGTCGTTTCTCTCTATTATTGTCTAAAATAATAAGTAATGACCAATATGATCATCAATATGAATATATATTGTGCCGTTACTTATTAAAATAATTACGTATCGAAACATTTCTCGACGAATGTATTAATATTATAACATTGTACTTACTGAATTTATACTGCGCTTTAATCTGCAGTAGCCTCTGCTGGTTTTAATACCATGATTATCTACGCATTCTTTGCACGAACTCCAAGGACCCCATTCAGATATTACTTGAAGAATTACTCCTTCCTCACGGATCTCAGCTAAGTCCGTCATTTGCGAGACCTGCAAAATTTTTCTCTCTTTAATCACTATGACAACATTTAAGACAATATTTTTCTTTGATAAGATACATATAACCCTTATAGAAATATCATACTAAGAATCATTGATAATTACTTATTTTCAGTATTAAAAATACTGGATAATAAGTAATTATCAATGATTCTTAGTATGATATTTCTATAAGGGAATATTCTCTTTTTTTCATTTTTATAAAATAGCTTGTCCTAATTTTCATTTATATATAATACTGTAAAAGTAGGATATAACTTTGTATATATTTATTTATCATCTAAGTTTACCTATACAGCACAAATCTTCAAAGAATGTTCTAAGGATGTTCTAAGGACATTCATATATTCTAGGAATGTCTCAGAACATTCTCTGAAGATTTTGTACTGTCTGGGTATCTCCATGTATTTGTTGTATAAGCTAACCAGAGTTAAGTTAGCTTACTTACAGCAAATCTTGTGGTAACAGGCCACAAATATGTTTCACGATATTTCTCCCATTCAGTTAAGTTTCCCTCTTCTATATATTCACCACTAATATCTTTAAAGATTGCTATTGAAGAGTGACACATAATTTAATATTTGGAATTAATAACGTAAATATTATAGTATAAAGAAGTATAATAAAACGATGCAATATAAAAAATTAAATTATCAATCATATAAAAAGTTAACCAATGTTAAAGACACAAATTAAATTATAGCCTAATTAGTTAACTTTGTCATAACTGATAACAAAAAAATCATTGCTAAGAAAAAACTACATGAAAATAAAATATCAGATTAATATTACTTTATTATTTGTCTTACGTTCGATTCTGTAATTATATTTATCCTCTTCCTCTTGTCCCTCCTCGCCATGGCATCGGTAAATGCCAGCGTCTGCAGCTGAGAAGCTCTTGATGACTAGAGAAAGATCTGGCGTTGTATAAATTCTACTATACGAAACATTATTGTCCATCCCCAATTCGACCTCTTTTTCTTGTTCTTTCCGATACCGATCCTGGTAATACCAGATTTTCGGTTGTGATTCTTCGTGGTCGTTACTTTTATGAAAAATCATCATACAATCACGTAAAAATCGTAATACAATTGATCGAAAAATACATTGCTTTGAAATATGATAATGATATCATACATTTATAATTCTTACCAATAACGACACGCTAATATAACTGTTGTATTACTCTCGGCTGTGACAAGTAAATATTCATCGTTCTCCTCGGATGTAATTAATCTATCTTTATCTCTGCAGTATTTATTAATATTTACACGCGTGGTATCGGTAGCGATGTCAATTATCCGTGTTAAGATCATCGTAAAGCAAATAAGAAACATCGTTGTATATATATGTTTTAGAAATTGAATCAGACTAAGATGGAGGCTGATAATACCACTTGAAATAAGATAAAGAAAGAAATACGCATATCGATAAATCGCATCGTAATAGGAATCTGATCTGCACTTTCTATACTTTTTTAATCTTGATAAGTTGTTCTAAATACTCGATTCTACTTCATAGGTTACAAGATGTGCCATAGTGCAAATAAATAAAACATCTTATTTATATTGAGAATCTTAAAACGATATTTAGAAAGTTAATTTACCTATTTTAAAACTTCATACATGATTTACCTTAGAATCACGAACTTCTCTATAGGATATCTATATCAGTATCTTACGAGCTGATGAAAATCAATCCGTTGCCATTCATCAATTTTCAAATTTCGCCGATTCGAATATAATCCAGGAAGTGGCGTCAGTTCTGGAATGACGGAAACGGACCGTTTAGCGAAACGGCGGACCGTGCATTCACGAGCGCCCTAATCGGAAATGCGTACCCATGATGCATCACTGATGTCAACATGGCGGACATGGTTGAAAGTAAGTAAACTTTGCGTTATTTTGGATAAAATTAATAAGAAGCGGACTTACGCGGTGGCCATCGAGCGAGCAGCTGGGCGAAATCTGCATTTTGCGATTTATCGAATCAATGCATCACGCGCCATCGAGTGCGCTCGGCATAATCACAATCGCCGTTCGAACGGCGATCGAGCGAGTTGGGTTTAAAATTTCAAAAATGACCAAACGCGATTCAAGCGGGACGATGATGATTCTCGGGCGAGCGATATTTCGTCGTATGGCCGATCGCGAAATGTCTACCATCGCTCAGTTAGCAGCCGTTTCATGGTCATTACGCGGCTCGAATTCGCTTCTTGCCGATGGCTACTCATGCTGACTGTTACCGAATTCGCCTCCTGTTTGGTTATGTTACCTCTGCCGTGGCCGATGCTCACGCACGATTGACGTTGTCGTCCATCGCTCGAAACTCTTGTATTTTTTCTTGACGACCGTTTCGTCGTATGATTTGAAATTTATTCGACTTTAGTACAAATTCGTTATCCCTTGAGGAAGGATGCAAGCGTATCGTTTTCGTTGTCTTTAATCGAATTGGTTGGGCTTTTTTTTTAAATTCAATAACGAGTGCGGCACCTGACATCTTGAAGCTTGATATTCTTGTATGTGTAACTTTTGATTTTACAAACGTTTCGCGCACGGTTAAAACATTATAATGTGTAGCTGCTGTTTCTTACGAGTATGTTCCATCATCTGTATAAGAAATATTAATGATGTTGTTTACGCATCATTATGCTTGAATGATGTATGAACGACGTATGTGCTTGATTCTAAGGAAATTATTTGGATTTAATTATATTTGTCTATCGATTCTAAATCAATCTACTTAGGTGAATCTGCAGAAGCGCTGTTATCCATAAAAAATGGTGGATATCCAGCAGTGGATGAAATCAAAACTGAGTTAATCGAAGAAGATGCGATGGATGTAGATGAGCATTCTGTTACTAATCATTCAGTGGATCCAGAGCCACTGATGGATGCAGAAGAAGCAGAGCCAATACCAGAGTTGGGACCTGCGGCTCTGGGTTTGCAAAGAGTAGGCACCCAACCACCTGCCAAACCAAATCCTCCAACACAACCAGTACAAGTCTTAAACCGTAGAGGAATGCCAGCTAGAATTAGAAAAAAAAATAAGTTATTTTATGATGACGTCTTGATTAACCATCCTCATCACAGGTACATTTTTTCTTATATCTGAGCATCAGAACTAATGATAGTTACACAAGCAATGATAAACTCAATCGGCTTTCTAACTAGCTAAATGTTTAATCATTAATTGAGTGTTTAATCATTTTAATATTGAATTAAATATATTAATATATTCTAATATTTTATTTAATCATTATGTTTATAGAATTAAGAAGGATCCATTAAGCGCAGATGCCAAACAGTCTCCCAGAAAGATACTTCGACCATCTCCAGCCAAAAAGCAGAACAAAATATTGAATGAGTCGAAAAAAAACTTAAGCATGTCTTCACATTCTACTCCTACAACTACACCAATTAAGCAAGAGAGGGAAAATGATAAACCATTGCCACCTTCGTCCCCAGATCGTAAGATTGGACAAAAGATTGGCATGAGATTGAGAAATTTGTTGAAACTACCAAAGGCACACAAATGGGTCTGTTATGAGTGGTTTTACAGCAATATTGACAAGTAAGTATAATTCAATAATAATATTAAAAGCAGTCATATAACATTTTAAGGATAGTAATAAAAATTGTGCTTCTACATATCAATGTTTTTCGCAGGATATTGTTTGAGGGCGACAACGACTTTATGATATGCTTGAAAGAATCATTCCCGCAACTGAAAACTCGCAAGCTCACTCGTGTCGAATGGTGCAAGATCAGGAGGATGATGGGCAAACCGCGACGTTGCTCGCAATCTTTCTTTGAAGAAGAGAGACGTGAGCTAGAGAGGAAAAGACAGAAGATACGAATGTTACAGCAGAGGAAAGCAGCAGACATAAACAGTTTCAAGGATTTGCCACCTGAAATACCATTGCAATTAGTAATTGGTACAAAAGTAACAGCGAGATTGAGAAAGCCGCAAGATGGTCTATTCACCGGGAGCATCGATGCCGTCGATACTAGCAATAATACTTACAGAATCACGTTTGAGAGAGCTGGACTCGGGACACATAGCGTACCCGATTATGAAGTTTTGGTATGCCACTTGTTTTCCCCCTGGAAAATTTCTATTGTGCGTACATTTACATTACAATATAAATTTTGTAATTTTAGTCAAACGAACCACCGGAAACGATTAGTGTGGCCTCATTCGCTCAGAAATTCAGACCACGACACGTACAATATCTATCTTCACCACCGTATACAATGAAAATGTCGGCGCGATTAAACGATCCTTTAATATCCAACGCATCCTTGCCAAAGAAACATATCGGGGGTATGATAAACGGTTTTCCGATGAGGTTACTTGAACTCATGGTAAAGGTAAACAAAATATTGACAGCTAAAAAGATTAGAATCAAGAAGCTGAAAGAGATGAATAGTGAAGCCGAAAAGAGACGTTCCTTTGGAGAGTCACTTCCTGCCGATTTTGAAAGAAAATATGCAGGGTATGACTAGTTGCATACATATATGTCATATAATGATGCATTATATACTAAATATCTAAAGATTTGTGTACTTTTATTTTTAAAAATATTTTTTAAGAACTTTTTTACTTTAATATTTTAATATGTGAATTTTTGAATTATTATATAGTAAAAAACTTATGAAACACATACACACAGAGAGTTTGATGAATCATACATTTAATGTATTGTCTTAATGTTACCATAGAATTATTGTTGAGCTAGAGAAGATGAATGTAGCTCTTCAGGATTTTCTGAATGATGTTCAAGAATTGTGTCAGGAAATGGCGCCCGAGCCAAGCGTAGCAGCGATGTTAGCACCATCGCATCTGCGAGAAAAGTGCAGACAAGAAGCAGCGGATATGGTCGCTAGAAACAATATGCTAAACGACAAAGAACCTGCCAAGATGAATCAGTTGGTGGTAGATTTGACTGCGCTGATGTTACAAGTCAAGGTAAGATAAAAATTCTTATTTTGAATTTCTAAATGATCAAATTTATCCTAGGTTCTTGTATATCTTATAATAAGGGTATTTTTTCACTCTGCAGAGCTTATCAGATTCCGATCGGAACGCTTACGAGCTCAAAGTGTTGCAAGGTACCATGGAGCAGATCAGATCGAAACTCAGTCCACAAAATCAGCAGGTGTTTCAGAATTGTGTAGAGATCCACATGCAACATATTCAACTGGGCCTAGGACAGATGGGTGCTCTAACCCCGTTCATGGCTCAGAAAGCTTGAAAAAAAAGAATGAAAGTACCATCGTATAAGTATTTTCACGAAATGTACAGTGTGTAGCGAACGAAACACAAGATCACGTGGTCACACGATTTTTATAGGAAACGAGAAGCCAGCTTTATTTTCTCATCTTGTATAGGCCATAATATTGTCATGTGAATCGCACGTAATATAAGATTTAAGATTATAATGTTAATTTTGTACATACATACAGAATATACTGTCAAACTTGTTCTTTAATTTCATAACATACTCACGAGAATACTTAGAGCAGATTCATATATTGTTGGACATATTAAACATCTAAGAATGTTCATGTTTCAGATTTTTACATAATAAATGTACAATTTAATCATAGAGATAAATATAAGTGATAACTGAATTGAGAACGATAGTGTGTATAATACATGAATAATAATAATTAAATTCCTTAAAAACCTAAAAGATTTCTATACTTGTACATTAGCTTTATATAGGGTAATTTTATAAGATTTTAGTGCAAAAGAAAAACAAAATTTTTTATGACCTATAAGAGAAATTTATTAGATTTTTTATAATTTGTCTGCACCTAAAAATCACATGCGGCTATCAAATTTTATTTTGATTTGCAACAGAAAAATTACTAAATCATGTTTGAAGCATATGTACTAAATTACAATTATCAAAATTCAACAAGTATTGACATGTTATGAATAATATTTTCGCTCATAATGTATGTCTCCACCGACAGAAATTTTTAAGTAATATTAATATTGTTTGATGTAATTATAAACATTCATATTAATTAGAACTTGTGTAAAATGATGTTTTCATATACACAAAGAATTTTATATACAAATAAATATAATATATTCTAAATTTTTTTTTGTATAAATGAATATTTGAATGAATATCATCGGTTAAATAAAATCGAATAAACTCGGCATTAACAAAAATATATGTCGATGATTTTAGAGTATTTTATATATTTATATAGTCGATACATAAATCGTACATACATGATTCAAAGTAGGTATAATTTTGATTAAAAACAATGGAAAAAATTTCAAAACAAGAATAATTTCATTAAGTGTAACCGCAATCTCCGTGTAACCGTAAGCATGTTAACAGTAAAATAATTTATGGATACCGTTACAAATTGTAAAATGAATCACCTCATCCTGAATAATCATTCAGGATTGTGCAACCTATCACAATATAACTACATAAATTTTATTCAATATTTAATATAATATTAGTAAAGTTATATTATTGAATATTTTCACACCTTTAATACGTTGACCGTCATAAATACGTCGAGAAATTAATTCATTTTGTAAAAAGGTATCTTGATAAGTATTTGATGTGTAAAATAAAAAAAAGTAATATATGCTTTTCCTTTTTCTCGCATTTATAATAAATATAATTTTTGTGCATTTAAAATTAATTATAAGAACAATACAGAATATTTTAATAGTCATTGTAAATATAACTTGTCAAATATTGAATCTCATATATAGTCGGTTTATATCACACTCTATATGTATCTTCGCTATGTACATATATTTCCAATGTATTATTATTACATCAATGATACAAAGTGATGCTTATTTCATGTATCATATATATAAATCGAGATATCCTTTTAGAAATGATCGAAAATTGCATTTCTTATTAAACAGAAAAAAAATTAATTACATTTTTGTACAGTTTTTGTCAAAACAACAGCAGGGAAATACATCACTTATTAGTAAAGAGATTTCTCTGTTCAGTTCATGTTAGTTGTGTGGTAGTATTTATGTTTTTTTTCTGGGAAAAACTACAAAATTTACATTTTTTGTGGAATGATAAATAGTTTGGTAAAACCTCTAATTAATATATTGCTCATTGATAGATATAGACGTGCTATTTATAAATTCAAGCTTGATATTGAACTAATAAAAACATTGTAACTTTGAAGTTGTAAAAGAGGCAACACTTGCGGCTAAATAATTCTATTACATTACTTATTTGAAACATTCGTTAATTCTCGAGTCAGTTTGAGTAGCACTTTACATTTTTTATTTATATATTTTACGAGAATATTACATTCTCGATAACAATCCTAATCACTTCTCACATGATTGAAGTTGCGTAAAAGAGAGAGAGAGAAAGCGAAAGATTATATTGTCTATTTTATATGTTTATCCAGTGTTTCAAATAGAGTATCCGCGGTCTCACTAGTTTTCACTCTTAATAGTACTGGGACCGGTGGCGGTGGCGAGTCCGGCATTGGTAGACAGACCAACATTATCGTGTTCTTGTTCATACGCTTGATCGGTATGCTTTGAGTTAACAAGGTATTGAGTAACAAATTACCCAATGCTGTCTCGGCACGTACTATCAATTGTGTTTTACCGTTTGGTGTTGGTTTTAAAAATAACATACCGACACCTCTGTCACTGAAATTGCCATCTTTCTTCACAAACACTTTGCATCTAAAAAGGAGAAGGAAGTTAGCTGCGAAGACCAAGAAAAAAATAATTAGGAAAAGTTTAATTGCTGAGTTAATTTTTCACAGCATCCAATAAACTTATGTTTTCTTATCTATTTATAATAATATAATATAAATATACGAAATACCTCTGCTCATAAATTGCACCTTCTTCAGTTACTGGTTTAAAGTCTGGTTTTGGTGGCTCTTCATCATCTTCATCCTTGTTATCATTGTCTGTCTTCTCTTCTTGATCCTGTTGAGGTTTGATTGGACAAGCAGCAAAAGTGAACGCCTTCCCGCTACGTATTATTTTCATTAAAATTTGTATTTATATAACTCATCTAATGGTGATTTCAAAGTGTATACACTGATAAAATACCTGCCAAAGCTGAATCCAGCGGTCACGTTGCTGGTAGCAGAGCTCTGACCAAAACTGAAAGTGGAAGATGGAAAAGTAGGAGCTGCAAGCTTCGTGTCGGACTTGGTTTGTTCCTCCTCTGCTTTGCTGTCCGGAACGATGGGAAGTTTTTGCAAGAACGGATTGTTTTCCACACTCACGTTACCGAATATGTTTTTACCAGATGTGTTCGTTTCTAAATTTCCAAATATCGGTTTGCGCACTTCGGAAGTCACATCGGTATTGCTGAAGAGAGTTTTAGGGCTCTCAGCCTTTTGTTCTGAGGCGCCGAATATTGATTTAGTACTTGGAGTAACATTAGAGAAAACTGATTTCTCAGGTTTCCATTCGGCTCCACCTAAGGAAGGCGATTTCGTGGTTACGTTCGTATTACCGCCGAACAAATTATCAGGCTTCTTCTCTGCGTTCTCATCCTTCTTATCATTTTGCGCGACTTTCGACATGGGTTCTGTGGTGAGCGAGGTAGTCTGCGCCTTGGTACTCTCCTCTTTCGATACGATTTCCTTCAGATATCTTTCGTAATCTTTAAATATAGGCGTCAGTATACAAAACGGATTCGAGTCCACATGACTCTTTATCCATTGCGCAACACTCTCGTTCAGTCCCTTCAGCCTTGTGTGATAATCAGACGAATTTTTTTTCATCTTCTTGGTTCCACAGTATAATCGAGTCAGTTCAGAACAGTCTGCTTGTTCAATGGAGACCTGTTTGTCTGTAGCAGCACTCGATGTTGTTTGAGCTTTGGAGGTCTCTTCAGCTTTAACATCATCATTCTCAGTGAGTTTTGTAGCACCATTGCTTGCAACATTCTTATTAGAATTTACAGACGTCATTGCTGGTGTTGTATTAACGGTTGTACTAGAACTAGTGCTTACACCAGCTAGAAAACTGAATGGGGCATTTTTTGCAGGAGTGGTATTGAAACCTGTAAAGTTCTCAAATGCACTTTTTAGAGAACTTTCCTGAAACTGATTGAGCATAATGACAATAAGGGCTAATACAATTGAATAATAAAGAAACCATGAGATACTCACTTCCATTGGTAATAAACTACCCCGCTTAGCAGTTTTTAGAACTCTCTTCCTGAGTTCAGCATTCGTCGCTCTTGCAAATGTTCCAGCTTCCTCTGGCTCCTGCTCCTCATTCCAATTATCATGATTTAACTCAGTTGTCGCAGTCCGTTTACTTGCCATTTCCACTAACTAGTATCCTTTACAAACAAAGAAAATAAAGATTGTGTTGTTATTAAAAGTGATTTTTCAAAATAAATTATTGATAGAACTAAACTTCATACAAATAATGCAATGTTTTTATCAACACTAAGGGAAGGTGAGACAAGATTGTGTGTGGTATATAGAATAAATGTACAACAGAAACAGTTTCATTACTTGTACCATATACTTGAATATTATATACATACACAAAAGCAAATAAAAAATTTATCTCGAAATCACGAGAATAAACAAAATGTGTAAATGACAATTTCTTATAAAATTTGGATTATATGAGTTATAAGTATGACGTTAATGTATGTAGATGTGATCGTACTATGGTACTATGCCGACAAAGACAGGTTATGTTTTTATGCATAGCGACAACGTCCCGGCAAAATTTCTCAAACGTACCTCACTAGTTAAAGTTCCTCTTATCGGATGCGACAAGATAAATGATCTCACTCTCCTAATGACCAGAATAGGACTTGAAAACGAAAAGGAAAAGTCAATTGCACATCCTCGTGGCTAACGCAAAAGTGATATCGATCTCTGTCGTGCTTACCTGAAATCGACGAAATTGAAACGTTTACCGCGCCATGGCCAGGCACGCGGAGATGGAAGATGGTCAATTTTTTTTTCTTGGAAAATAAATTGTTTTTTTAACGTTCAAATTTTTAAATTTGATTAACCTATATATACACTTTTTTTTAATTTAAACGTTGCTAAACTTCAACAATTCTATTTTATAACAAATATATATATAGTATTTTGATTCACTGTTGAATCGTATTATTTAATGATAAAAGGTTTGGCAAGGACACAAGTTTACTTGATCTTATAGATTTGATACTGCTACTGAAAACTAAAAACATACAAAACTTGTTTGATCAGTTTTAATGATCACATTTGTTAGGCAAATTCTAAATCGAGATTGAGGCGTCTGATTTGTCGTCGTGTTGTACACTCCTTCCTTCCTTCAATATTTAGCTGAGTACACTTGTGCGTAACCCTACGCCATTACTCAGTAAAGCCAGCGGCACACGATGCTTGTTTTCATGCTGGATTGTTTGCTGGATGGAAATACTCTGTTCTGATTGGTGCATTTCTGAAGACAGACCAATCAGAATAGAGTATTTCCATCCAGCAAACAATCCAGCACGAAAACAAGCATCGTGTGTCGTTGGCTTAAAATAGGTTTGTCGCGTCGCATGTTCCAACGTGCTCCTATTCGTCCCAACGCACTCTGATTGGTCTGCGTGGTGAAGTAAACCAATCAGAGTGCGTTGGAGCGAATAGGAGTACGTTGGGGCATGCGACGTGAACAAACCTAATGGCTGCGTTCAGCAGAGAAAGCTC